GACCGATATACTTTACTGTTGATCTAAAATAATGTTGCTTGGTTATTCATTGAAATCTGTTTTGGGCCTGTTTTGTAGCCCGATAAGCAGGACATATAAAAACCGCTACTTTGATGTTTAGGGTTTTATAACTGATAGCCGCCCTCTATATTCCGCTCTCTCAATAATGAAATTCTTGTACCTTCGTAGACGTAGGCAAATTATCGAATCACGTAAAATTTTTGTGTCTTGTTCTTTCTTGTTTTCTTATTACTTTATGTTCTTCGATTGTGTGTGTTTGTCTGTGGGTTTAAAGCGTGTTAAATCTCAACAATCTGGTCATTTGGTAACTGATTACATAATACGCAACCCTATTTATAGGCATAAAATACTGTAATTCAAACCTATTCAAATACAACTTGATCTTTATTTTTCCTATCGCATGTATAACATACCTATTTATGGCATATTAAAACTCTTTCAATATAATCCTATGTCATATAGGATTCTCACATTGATTATCTAGCAAATTGTCATTCATAGGGAATTTGAGTCAAATTCCAACATAACCAAATCCGATCTAATTAGCGATTCTACGAAGCATGGCACTAATTGTTTGAAAGACAGAATAGATATGGTAAATGGGGGATTTAGGCGGGTCAATGACGATTGAGTTTAATTTGATTTAATTTTCAACCAGCTTAGTAAATATGTTGAGTCACCAAATTTAATAGGTTGAATTAAGTCCATTCACACAAAAATATATAACCAAAACAAACAATAAGCAACGCCACTGCCACTATTGTTGTCATCATCACCACGACAACTGCTACTACCACCACCTACGTTACAACTACCACCACCTACGTTACAACTACCACCAATACCACAACAAGTGGCATATATTCAATTTTGTTAATTTTGTCTTTAAAATATTTAATTTGTGTTTAAACAGTCTCTTTGTAGATGAACTGTTAAATTTTTTATTAGAATGATCACGTGTTGATCAAGTGATGCGATCTAAAAGTATGACACGTAGTTACTTCTGTTAAAAAAATTTTACATATCGTCTAATTATGGATCAAAGTGACACGAAATGAAATTTTAAAGATCAAATTAATTAAATTAATAAAATAAGGAGCAAACTGAAAAAACGACATACTTTAGAAATCATTTATAAACCTTATAATTTGTCATATTTCCTTTGAGTTTGTAGCAAACTTGTGTCCGAAGACACGCTTAAAGATAGTACTTCGCAGTCAAGAGAGGTTCAAAATTCAAAATTCTTTGAATATCGTGGAACAACTAAACTTCAATACATAAAAAATAAAAAATAAAAGAAACTTCCAAGAAATGCATCTCGACATTAATCTACTTTGTCGAACTATTTACCACCGCCATCTACCACCTATATATGTCCCTATGATGTAAGATCAACCGTCCATTCAGCCACCAGTTGTGCCAGCAAATTTGACTGGGATTCCAACTTATAACAAAACATGGAAGGTTCTCATAAGGGTAAGGCCATGCAAGAAGAGGAAGAGAAGGGAAGAGAGGAAGTACGGTACCGGGGTGTCCGAAGGCGGCCATGGGGTAAGTATTCGGCGGAGATACGTGACCCATCTAGACAAGGGCAGCGGCGGTGGCTTGGAACATTTACCACCGCAGAGGAGGGAGCTCGGGCTTATGACAGAGCTGCCTTTGGCTTAAAAGGCCATCTTGCCATCTTAAATTTCCCCAATGAGTACTATCCCATACTCCCAAGCACTCCATATCCACCACCATCATTTTCATCGTCCCCATTATCTTCATCATTGTCTTCGTCGTCATATTCTTCTTCTTATGTTCCAATCGAGAGTTTCGAGAAGGAATGTTCATCAAGTGGACAAGAGAGGGAAGTCATTGAGTTCGAGTAGTTGGATGACAGTGTGTTGGTGGATCTTCTTGAATCAGAAGAAGAGAAAAAGAAATAAAGATAAGATTGAGATACAAAATAATTCCCTCTTGTTTGGTATTCTTTTACCAAGTTTTCTCCTTCTTTTCAGAAAGAATGAGAATTGGGAAGGAAAAAGCATTTAATTCTTTGTAATTTCCAATAACCAAACGTGTCCTTTGAGTTAATTTCAGTGTTTGAGTTTCCTTAGCCCCCATCTAATTTTTGCAAGTGTTGGGTACTCGAACGTTCTATGTTGTTTACTAGATGGCAATGGTCTAACTAGAATGAGTTGGTATATTTATAAATAATTAATAAAAACCTTATACACTAGGTTGTTTTTTTTTTTAAATTTGCACTTATTTTGGAGATTTCTACGGTTTGACATTATTTCGAAGTAGTTTAGAATATAAAATTATGTGAATACCGATGAATATTGATATGAAGAAAAATGTAAGCATAAACAAATATGGTGACCTCACTGCTAGGGTAATGCATTTAAAACTTTCTGTAGACAAGATCTTCTTTATTTTTTTGAATCAATTCAGTGTAACAAGATCAAAAGGGCAAAAAAACTTGAACCGAGAATAGTAGGAGGCAGATAACTAGATTGAAAACATTTTAATGTGAAACCTACAAAATATAGCCTAATTTACTAAAAATTTACTCAAGACCTAGTGAATTTCAAAGTTGTCTTTGTTAAACGGTAAAAATTAGTTTTATTGGTCAAAAAAGTTGGCAAGTGAATCAACAAAGAGTTAATTTATCTTTCTTTGGGGGCTTGAGTTCGTGGACGAACTATTTCAACCTTACCAGCGGTGGAGAAGGAAGCGAAGTGATTACTTTTGCTCATTTAAGCCAAACATTTCTCCAATCAATGAATGAGAAATTGAAAATAAGGGAAAACACCCTCTGTTAGGCATATTATCAAACAACTTGTGTTCAAAACAATATTTGAAACTACTACAGATTTTAGTTGAGCACAAAACGTAATTGTTGGAAACAACCAAAAATCCCTATAGGAAATGATGAAAAAGATATTATATCAAAAGCAATGATTAGAATGAAATAAGTGAATAGATAGAAAATCCAAAAATCAAACAACCAGACTACAAATTAAATGTAAAATTAAATTTAAAAAAAAAATTGAGATTCGGAGAAGGAAAAAAAATACATAAAAGAGTACCTTGCCGATAAAATTTTGTGGTGAATTGAATTTCGGAAAATCAAATGAAGCCCTCTACCCAAGGAATGAAGCATTGCCCTCTTAGTCTTAGGCGGTTTGTGAGGCCAGTATTATGAGTGAGATTTGAGATTAGAATTTGAGATGAATTTCATGTGATAGAGACGTGATATATTGAGAGAGAGAGAGGCGTGATAGAGAGGAAGAGGCAGAAGTGAGAGAGAAAGAGGCGTGAGAGACAGGCCTGAGTTGGGTGGGAAATGATAATTTAGTATTCACTGTTGACTGTTTGATCAAAATTTTTGAGATGATGTTAACCGTCTATTATGTAGGAATTATATTATCTGTCGGATGTGTTTATGTTTTGTCTCAAAACGATATGAACCTCTCTTTGTCTCTGAATTCAAATTTAACTATATTTTATTATATACATTATATTATTACATACCAAAAACTAGAATATAACATATATTTGACCATGAAATTCAATTTGGTAACTTCATGTATATAATAATTTAACATATATAGGACTTTAATTATTCATATAAATCTAAAAAATTGTATATAATGGTACTACTAATAAATGAGTTAAAAAGAATTTAAAAGTCCTTAAAAAATAGTCCAAAATAAATTAAAAGTCAAATAAAAGTAAAAAAAATAAAAATTAGATGAAAGTATATAGGTGAGTATAATTGACTTTATTCTAATAATTTGGGGTAAAATAGAAAATCAAAAGTTTTTCGTAGATACTAATAATCTAGGTTGTTTTTTTTTTAAATTTGCACTTATTTTAGAGATTCCTACGGTTAGACATTATTTCGAAGTTGTTTAGAATATAAAATTATGTGGATATCGACGTATAATGATACGAAGAAAATGTAAGCATAAACAAATATGGTGAGGGTAATGCATTTAAAAATCTGTAGACAAGATCTTTTTTTTTTTTTGAATCAGTTCAGTATAACAAGATCAATAGGGCAAAAAAACATGAACCGAGAATAGTAGGAGGCAGATAACTAGATTGAAAACATTTTAATGTGAAACCTACAAACTATAGCTTAATTTACTAAAAACTTACCCATAACCTAGGGAGTTTCAAAGTTGTCTTTGTTAAACAGTAAAATTAGTTTCATTTGTCAAAAAAGTTGGCAAGTGTATCAATTTTTAAAAGAATTTAAAATGAATATTAGTCCAAGGCCACATTGGAACCAATTTATGACATTCAGGGTGTAATGTGAAAAAAAATAAATTTTTAAGGTGTAAAATAAAAATTGAGATATCTTTTAGCGTGCAAAATGCAAAAACCCTTAATATTCGATTAGTATTTTCCTCTTAAACATTCTCAAGCTGTCAATATTTTCCGCGGGCAATTGAAAAGAGCACCAAGAAAATCCAAATTGGTGATACTAGCAAGGTTCAAATTGTTATATAACTAGCATCAACTTAACAAAGTCTTTATTCTAAAAGGAACAAAAATAGTATTTATCTCAACTATTTGGCGCCGACTACCTTAATTATGTTTATCCATTGTAGTCAGTCAAAAACGAACTGAGCAATGCTAAAAAATTCAATTGAAATCAAAAAAATTACAACTCAAATGCATATCATTTTTTGCACGAGTAAATCCCATTCATCCTCACACTTATCCAAGGGATGAAATGTATTTAAGTTTTAACTTTTGGATGATATAACATTTTCCAAAACCATATTTACTCTTCGTAAAGTCTTAGGTTATCATACACCATTGAAATGCATCTTGACATTAATCTACTCTGTCGAACTATTTACAACCGCCATCTACCACCTATATATATGTCCCTACGATGCAAGATCACCCGCCCATTCAGCCACCAATTCACCGGTTGTGCCAGCAAATTTGATTCCAATTACAACTTATAACAAAACATGGAAGGTTCTCATAAGGGTAAGGCCATGCAAGAAGAAGAAGAGAAGGGAAAAGAGGAAGTACGGTACCGGGGTGTCCGAAGGCGGCCATCGGGGAAGTATTCGGCTGAGATACGTGACCCGTCTAGACAGGTGCAGCGGCGGTGGCTTGGAACATTTGCCACCGCAGAGGAGGCAGCTCGGGCTTATGACAGAGCTGCCTTTGGCCTAAAAGGCCATCTTGCCATCTTAAATTTCCCCAATGAGTACTATCCCAAACTCACAAGCCCTCCATATCCACCATCCTCATTTTCATCGTCACCATTATCTTCCTCGTCATCGTCTTCTTCATATGTTCCAATTGAGAGTTTCGAGAAGGAAGGTTCATCAAGTGGACGACCGAGGGAAGTCATTGAGTTCGAGTACTTGGATGACAGTGTGTTGGAGGAGCTTCTTGAATCATACGAAGAGAAGAAGAAATAAAGATAAGATTGAGATCCAAAATAATTCCCTCTTGTTTAGTATTTGTTTACCAAGTTTTGTCCTCCTTTTGGTGCTTGGAGAGAATGAGAATTGGGAAGGAAAAATCCTTTAATTCTTTGTAATTTCCAATAACCAAACCTGCAACAGTGTCTAACTAGAATGAGTTGGTATATTATAAATAATTAATAAAAACCTCATACACTAGGTTGTTTTTTTTAATTTGCACTTATTTTGAAGATTTTTACGGTTGGAGATTAATTCGAAGTAGTTTAGAATATAAAATTAGGTGGATATCGACGTATAATGATATGAAGAAAATGTAAGCATAAACAAATATGGTGACCTCACTGCTAGGGTAATGCATTTAAAACTTTCTGTAGACAAGATCTTTTTTTTTTGGTTGAATCAGTTCAGTATAACAAGATCAATAGGGCAAAAAAACATGAACCGAGAATAGTAGGAGACAGATAACTAGATTGAAAACATTTTAATGTGAAACCTACAAACTATAGCTTAATTTACAAAAACTTACCCATAACCTAGGGAGTTTCAAAGTTGTCTTTCTTATATGGTAAAAATTAGTTTCATTGGTCAAAGAAGTTGGCAAGTGCATCAATTTTTAACAGAATCTAAAATGAATAGTCCAAGGACCACATTGGAATCAATTTATGACTTTTAAGATGTAATGTAAAAAAAATAAACTTTCGAGGTGTAAAATGAAAATCGAGATATCTTATTATACGAACACCGTATGATGCTGCTGCCAAGAATCAAACCAATTAGTACATCAGGTATCATCCATGAATTTTTTTTTTTTTTTGAATTCCTATGTACTCCTTGTATTTGTCAATGTGGCAGCTCCAATTCACATCACTTCAGAACAAGACAAGGGACGGCTCAACTCAGAAAGTATTACATTCCTTTTGAGGAATCTACCACAAAGTTGAATATGATGTACTTTTACCGACTCTGGTTTTTGTATTTTCTTCCCCTTCTTAGTCTTTTTGTTCATTTTCTTTACTTTCAAGGCATTTAACATGGGGGTTTTATTTGATTATTATTCTGTTTGTGAGTGTAGGTTCATCATTTGGTTGTGAACGGAGACCCCAATTTCGTTGAGGTTTGTATTTCATTAAAGCTTAGACATGCCTATAGATTTCATACGAAAATAGGGTGAAGAAGATTAGTAAATGGTTTCAGATGCAATTTTCAATTGATATCTAGGAAACAGATTGACTTGAAACAATCCTAGGGTCATGGAACTTATGTTTCACAACTTAAGGCAATGGTAAGTACTATTTTTTTCAATTCGTGTGACACACCTTTTCAGGTATGTTTTTTTTTCCACGATTCCCACTTCTATCTAGATGAATATTATGTGTTCTTTCATAGTGTCTTTTATTTATTTATTTTTTAATATTTTCATTATCTTTTCCTTTTTCACTCTTTTGACAAAACAATCGATTGGAGCTATCCGGTTGATCCAAATTCCTTTGTCATTTGTATAGGATTCGAAGTATAATTGGACAATTGAGAACATCAAATACACAGTAGGTGTAGTAGAGTATCTTATGCAATTGTGTTGGTAACGACGGCAGACAAAATAATTGCGAAGTTTAAAACTTTGATGAGAGTAAAGTAGATAAGCTTTTATAAGTGAATATAACTGAAAACACCTTATTGTCCCTAGGTTTATTGCAATATTTGTGATTACTATGACAATATGATTGGTTTTATTATAATTATTATTATTATTATTATTATTCTGAAAAAGGAAAGAAATCACAAATGCTAGATCAAATTCTATAAATTCTTGGCATTTAGATTCCAATTAGAGGTAACATGTGCCTGAAAGCACGGTGTAACGTGAGTGAGAAGTGATAACTTTGGGAGGATAGAAATTTAATGTGAATGATTTTAAAAGGGATGTTAGAAGTCGTTAGACGAATCTATTTGAAACCGTCAAATGAATTTATTGAAGTCTGTCATATTTAATATTATAGATTTGACACAACTAAAAGTAATATTCTATAATGTTTAATCTTCTTACAAATTTTACATTTTACTCATTTTTGGCCATATATTCTATAATTTTTGAACCAAAGGAAGCTCCAACAAATAAGACCAATACATAAAACATATATAAATAAAAATAAAAATAAAAATTCAAGATAGTCTTACACCCCCTCCTTTATCCGCCATTGCCAAAAAGAGAGAGAGAGAGAGAGAGAGAGAGAGAGAGAAAGAGAGTGAAGAGTGAAAAGAGGAAAGTATAATTCAATCTAAATGGTTTTCGGAGAGTTGTTGGTAATTGTTGAATGAGTTTATTTGAGACCGTCGAATAAATTTATTAAAGTCTTTCTTATTTTATATTATAGATAAATCTACGAAATATGATAAAATTGACTTAAAAAAATATTAATTTATATACATGTAATCAAAATCGAATATTAATTTATATGCATGTAATCAAAATCGAATCAAATATAATATAAATTAAAAATCTAATTTATCAAAAAGTACATCGCCAAATTATGTTCTATTAAAAAAATTCTACAAATATCATTTATAAATATTATTTTTTTAATTAATACAAGTTATTCAAAAATTATATATTAGTGTGGGATTTTCTTAAGAGATAAAAAAAAATTAGTCTTGAACTTTTAATTCAAGATACGTGTAAGATATGTTAGTTTGAGATAATTAATTAAATAAATAAAATTAAAAATTAAAATATATTTAATATAAATGTGTTAAATAGTGCCGTTGTTTTTTTTATTTGTTAAATTGATGAGTTTTTTTAATCAAAATGCTATTATTGAATCTTATAAAAATTCAAAATGTTACACTACAAAGATGATATTAATGGCAAATTTGACTCATTTAATTATTATGTTAAAAAAAATCCTGTGTTCCAAGATCAACCGTAATCGTTGATCGATTGGAGGAAAAATATTAAGGAAAAAATGGTAATTTTTTAACCGTTTGATGAATGAATTTAAGATCGTAGGATGTGTCCAAAATTAGTTGTAATCGTTGACCAGATAGAAAGGAATATATTAAGGAAAAAAAGGGAATTTCTTGATTGTTAGATGAATGAATTTGAGACTAGGATTGACTCGTTGAAGTCGTCCTATTTTATATTATATATATCACTTTCGGTCGTAAATCTTGACTATGGATATTTTTTTATTGCATGTGTTTTTTGTTTTAGTTGCTTAAAGAACGTTAAATGCAATTATGTCGGTACTTGAATGCTTAATGTAAACTACGTGTCAATGAAAGGAATATCGTTACTCTTTATGAGGACTTTTTGAACAAATTTTGATAGTCAAAGTACATCTGCTTGAGTTTATTCTGAAAAATAGAAAGATGCACCGATGATGACATTATTTTTTGCACAATAGGAGAGGTTGAAAATTAAAATAGCAGATTATGGTTTGTGCCTTGTGCATATTCTGTTATTAAGATGCAAAGGGTATTGGTTTTGTTGAATATGAGGCATTTTAACTCACAATTACAGAGAAATCTAAGTACTGAAAGTACATGACTTTTGTGACTTCCTCTTTCCATGCTGATTGTGGGTGAGGAAAAACAACACACAGTTAGGTGAGTCAGGAAGGATTCCGGGCATTTTTGTTGGGATCACCTCGGAAGACAATTCCTTTGGAGCTACCATAGACAATTCCTTCGGAGTTGGCGCAATAAGACCCCAATTTGGTTGAGGTTTGTATTTCATTAAAGCTTAGACATGCCTATAGATTTCATATGAAAATAGGGTGAAGAAGATTAGTAAACGGTTTCAGATGCAATTTTCAATTGATATCTAGGAAACAGATTGACTTGAAACAATCCTAGGGTCATGGAACTTATGTTTCACAACTTAAGGCAATGGTAAGTACTATTTTTTTCAATTCATGTGACACATCTTTTCAGGTAGTTTTTTTTTTCACGAATCCCACTTCTATCTAGATGAATATTATGTGTTCTTTCAGTGCGTCTTTTTTTTTTTTTTTAATGTTTTCATTATCTTTTCCTTTTTCATTCTTTTGACAAAATGATCGATTGGAGCTATCCGGTTGATCCAAATTCCTTTGTCATTTGTATAGGATTTGAAGTATTATTGGATAATTGAGAGCATCAAATACACAGTAGGTGTGGTAGAGTATCTTATGCAATTGTGTTGGTAACGACGGTAGACAAAAAAATCGAAAAGTTTGAAACTTTGATGAGAATAAAGTAGATAGGCTTTTATAAGTGAATATAACTGAAAACACCTTATTGTCCCTAGGTTTATTGCAATATTTGTGATTGATTGGTTTTACTATAATAATAATTATTTTATTATTCTGAAAAAGGGAAGAAATCACAAATGCTAGATCAAATTTTATAAATTCTTGGCATTTAGATTCTTACTAAAGGTAACCCGTGCTTGAAGGTACGGTGCAACGTGAGTGAAAAGTGATAAATTTGGGATGGTAGAAATTCAATGTGAATGGTTTTAAAAAGAATGTTAGAGGTTGTTAGATGAATCTATTTGAGACCGTCAAATGAATTTATTAAAATCTGTCATATTTAATATTATAGATTTGACACAAATAAAATTAATATTCTTTAATGTTTAATCTTCTTACAAATTTTACATTTTACTCATTTTGACTATATATTCCATAATTTTTGAACCAAAGGAAGCTCCAACAAATAAGACCAATACTCCAAGGAATCAATTTTAATTTGCTAATTAAGAGATTTGATATAGACTTCATTGTTTTTTTGGGTTCTAGTACCCATCTTGTTTGACCAAATTAATTTTTTTTTCATAAATCATTAACACGGGCCCAATTTAGAATATCCAAAAAAAATATATAAAATATATATAACTAAAAAAAAAAATATTCAGGGTGGTCTTACACCCCCCTCCTCTATCCGCCACTGCCAAAGAGAGAGAGAGAGAGAGAGAGTAAAGAGTGAGAAGAGGAAAGTAGAATTCAATCTAAATG